AAAAGGGTATGCTGAGATTTTAAATTCGGGGTCACATGTGCCAAGAGCCCCACTTTCAGGGTAAGCTGGGCTCAAGGGTCGGGTGCTCGACTCATATCCATAACCCAAGGTACCGCAGCTTGATACGAAAACTGGGGATAGTAACTGTGTGATGCATTCTCCTGGCGTCGAAGGAACAGAACGTGGGATAACATAGGTTTCGGAAGTCATAGGGCTGGAGAGATGTACAAGACTGGAACCGAAGTGTGGTGGGTAAGGGAATATACCGGGAGGAGAATTCGGTATCCCGTACGAAGCACCGATAAGCCAGTTCAGAATGTCAAATAGGCCTGTATTTGAGAAAATATGATTCGAAACAACTTTTATCTCATTATCTGGATACCTGTTTCGCAATTCCTAGTCATCTGACCTGAAACACCGCTCGAACAGCATCCCCCCGCCGCGCAGATTCGGGCAGTGATCGGAAACCGACGTACATATTGAGAACTCGACCTCCCTCTTGCATGATAAAAAGAGCAACAATCACAAAAATAATACATAATACATAAACACCCCTGTGCGAATCCTCGTGGCTTTTTTCCAAGGCGGATCTGGCCGCGCGCGTATCAGTGTGTGGTGGGTGCATTCGTGCATTCCGGTGGTCTCGAGGGTCTTTTTGGGTTCCGCTGTCGGTCTGTCCCCCCATTCAGGCCTGGACATTCCCCTCCTCTTCTCTTCTCCTTCTTCCTCTCTCTCCTTCACGACTCTTCCTCGATTTTCATTCGAGACTCGGAAAAATCTATACGAATATCTGTGTTTTTTTTCTTTTCTTTCGTTCCGCCATTCCCTGGAGGGTATCGAAGGTATGTGCGTCCGGCTGTCATCATCATTATCCCCAGATCTCTCCCTGATCTGTGCCTCTTTTAAACCCCCCCCCCCTCCCCCTCTTGGCTACCGCATTCCCTCGTGCTCACTACATTCCAGCGTCATTGTTGCGCGTAATGCTTTCAATGGAATCAATCGGATTGCTAACTCTTGCTTGTTCATATCAGCGCTTGGCCGTTTCGATCCCGATTTCTTTCCCGCCTACGATTCCCCATCTCCCCTCTTCTTCAATTATAACGACGAGCTGGATTCATTCCCTTTTTCGATTACATGAGGATTTAGAACCAGGTACCCTTTTTTTCGCCTTGTACCATATAGACCTCTGTTACGATATCCCTCTGGAGACGAGGAAAGCGATAAACGCCAACAAAAGTCCTTGCGATACCCCGTTTTTTTTTTTTTTTATTCCGTCGCATTTCTGCTCTTCCGTCCTAATTATATAATTCCAACATGTTTTGGCGGTTTGGTGGATACGCCGGTATCTCCACCATCGATGCCCTGCTCGATAAGCCGGATGCGTCCCTGGAAGAACTCTTGGACGAGTCGGAGGTGATCCAGGAATTGAACCAAAATAATAACAAGCTCATCGAGTACTTACGAGAGGATAATGTCTTGAAACGGCTTATGGATTATGTGATCGCACCGAGTCTGGTGAACGACGATGATGACGCGGACGAACTTGACGACAGTAACGCCGGCGAGGAGGGGAAAGAGAAGACGACCGATCCGCTTAAGGAGGCATTAAATCCGGAGGACTTGGAAAGGGCGGAGAACAACCGCCTTAGACATGCCTATGTTGCATGCGAGCTTCTCTCGACGCCGACATGGTCGATAATCGAATCCATTATGCTGAATCAGGAGCACCTGCGGGGTTTCTGGAACTTCCTGAGGAGGCCTCCGTCTTTGGATCCCCTCCAAGCAAGTTATTTCACGAAGGTTAACGAGACTATGTTCGATCGGAAGACGGAGGATATGCTGGAATTCTTCAAATCCCTCGACGGGATTCTGCCTGCGATTCTCCAGCATATTGATAACCCGATGGTCATGGATTTGTTGTTAAAGATCATCAGTTTGGAAAAGACTGAAGGTGGCCAGGGCATTGTAGACGTGAGTGTCTTCAAAACCTTTCATGGGGAGATTAATAGTGAAACCCGAAACTGACTCTCCCCGATTTCCTCTTCATAGTGGCTGAGAGCTCAAGGCTTGATCCCGACTCTTCTCTCCTTCCTCTCCCCCGAATACCCCGCAACCGTCCAAACCTCTTCTGGTGACTTCATTAAGGCCATTATCACCATCTCCGCCAACGCAATTCAAAACGACGATTCGTGTATCGGTCCTAACAGCTTGACGAGGGAATTAGTATCCGTGCCATGTGTGGAGAGCTTGATAAACTCGATGCTGCAAGGTGGAAATCCTCTAACGGTGGGGGTGGGAATAATTATTGAGGTTATTCGGAAGAACAACTCTGATTATGATCCGCCCGGTATCAACGCCCCTGGTACAATACCGACAACATACGACCCGATCTATCTCGGTATGCTGCTTCGAATATTTGGACAGCACATTCCGGACTTCATGGCATTGCTCAACAGCTCGAAACATACCGTCAGCGAGGGTGGTCAGGTGAAGAGGGTGGAGAGAGCAGATCTCACCTCTCCATGGGGCGCCAAGGTCGAACCGCTGGGCTTTGACCGATTTAAAACATGCGAATTGATGGCCGAATTACTGCATTGCAGCAACATGGGTCTTTTGAACCAACCTGGAAGCGAGCACTACATTCGGGAGAGGGATCTCGAGCGCGAACGGCTGGTTCGGGAAGGCGCTTTCAACGTGCACGGAGAAGGGTTCTCCAGCGTTGATTTTAATGATTCCTCCGATTTTGTCAACGGGTCGTCGGTTCTTGGCTCGGGGTCGCCGGAGGATGTGAAGACACTCGAAGTCACGAATGCTGGTGAAGAGGAGGGCTTTGAAGACGTCTCTGCACCAAGCGTTCTCGTCAACAAGGAGCAAGATGCTACCGGGAAGAAAGACCCGGCATCCTCAGAGGCAGCTGGTCCAATGTCACCCACTGCTTCTGGTCTCACTGAGCAAATGGGTGAAATTAAGCTTGAAGGCGAAGGCTCGAAAGAAGCTACCGATGAGGGCCAACCACCAGCCAAGCGGGAGACACAGGAGCCAAAGGAACAAGAGCCAGCTTCTGCGCCAATGTCTTCGAATCCGGAAGACGTCCCAGCTCCTCTATTTGCCTCTAAGCAGCAAGAAGGGCCTTCAACTACTGGCGAGACTGAGGCGCCTGCTGAACAGGACCAGGCTCAGGAGAAGGAAAGTGCCCCAGCACTGAAACTTCATCCATTTGCTCAAGCTGATATAAACAGCCAACCTGTTGTTGGTGATTACCTCAAAATCATGTTTGTGGAGCATAAGGTGGTGCCGACAATTCTGGTATGTATACATGCACTTATAACGCAGCACAATTGAGCGGAAATAGCTGACTTTGATGTTGCAGGGTTTCTTTTTCCGTTTCCCTTGGAATAACTTCCTTCACAATGTGGTTTACGATGTTGTTCAGCAAGTATTCAACGGACACATGGACCGTGGATACAACCGGGTATTGGCCATTGATGTTTTCGAGACTGGACGGATCTCGCAACAGATCTACGAAGGCCAAAAGCGGAATGATCAAGTGCAGCAAGCCAAGCGGATCCGACTTGGCTACATGGGTCACTTGACTCTCATCGCAGAAGAAGTCGTCAAGTTCACCGAGCGGCACCCCCCTGAATTACTCTCTCCCACAGTCATGGAATACGTGCTAAATCCCGACTGGATCGATTATGTTGAGCAAACCCTGTCTGAGACAAGGGAGCGTGACAATGCTATCCTTGGTGGTGTACGGCCGGACATGACTATCGGGCAACGACAGTCCATGCTTGGCCAGGGCCAAAGTTTCGGTGGCTCGTCGGCCCTTGTTGAAGCCGGCTTGAATGGCGGAGCCAATGTGTCTGACTTTCAAGGCTTCGATATGAGCCAGGGAAGCGTCTCTGGTGGAGCGTTTGGTCTGGGAGGCGGCAGCGGTGGCCATTCTCTTCTGAGTGGCTTCGGAAGTTCGAGTGACGAAGACGAAGAGATGGAGGACCAAGATGACCGAAATGCTAGCCATGAATTCGTTGAGGGTGGAGGCGAGAATGTGGGTAACTATTATTCCTTTTCTGACGTTGATATGCGTGATTCGTGACAGCCTTGCATCTAAGCATACCCTTTTGTTTGGTTTCTATTCCCCTCTCCCTCCATTATATGTATATTTCATTTCGAGGACTAGGGGGGTTTGCATGATGGATACAGGAATGATGGAGGTCTCTGAAAGGACCATATACATAGGGCGTTTTATTAGCAGCGCTTTGCATTCATATATGAGGCCATCCAGAATCTCCTTCATTTTCTTGAAATCATGATATACTCTCTTCGGTTCCCAACCACTCAATAACCCTCTGGGTTTCTCTTAGCATTGACCTGCCATACAATTTGAACATCATCGAGGCACGAATGTTTTTCTCTTTTACGGCCGCCTTCGTTTTTTTTTTTATCATTCCAGAAACTGACGTTTATTACAGTCATCTGAAAACTCCTCAAGTCAGCCTATTCCCATTCTCCCTCCGCCTCCGGCACCTCTAAGCACGGGTCCTTCTCGTGCTCGACGACAGCTCGCTGCCCGACTGGCGGCTCAGAAACAGCAAGCGACAGGAAATACCGAGAACAAAGGAGAAGAGGATAGGTCGAATGATAACGATAATGAGAACGCGGACTCTCAATGGCCGAGCAACCCATTTGTGATTGCAGGGCTAGAGGACGACGGCAATAACGACGACCAAGGCGCAGCATTCCCATCAGAAGATTTCAAAGACGAACCTTTCGCATCACCCACTTTCCCAGATGCCCGATTTAGCCCTCCTGACTCCTTCTCGACCAATTCATCCGATGATGACCGGCTCGAAGGCACACGGCGTAACGACCGCGCACCTCTCGAGGTCGACGATGACGATGATGAAATGGGCGAAATGGTGGGACCTTCTGTGGGATCAACGATGATGGACTCAGACGACGATGATGAGGCCATCATTAACGAGTCAATGGGATATCCGAATCGATACCAGGACTTCCGGCGGTCACGCATTGGGGCATCACCATTTGGCGACGATGACGAGCAGAATGACAGTAGTGATGGTGAGGATGAAGGGTTAGTCGAGATCCTGGTACCAGGACGGAAGAACTCGACGTCTTCCCAAACCTAGATATCTGCGCCGGTTATTACTGTCTTTACTTCGGTGGTATACGTGCTATCATGATATGACCTGTACACTAAATGCACACTACGTTGTAAATATTTCATCTTCTGTGATGGCATTTGCATGCTTGGGTTCGATGAAAGGGATTGTTATTGGGTCCATTTATTTTAGATCTGGGGTGGCATATGTATGTTCTATGTCGGATGGCATCTGGATGGCATCATGGAATTATAGTTTTTATTTTCGATGTCCAATTCCCGAAGGGTCTAGTTATGTATTCCATTTAGTCTGATTTAACCTCCCCTGGAATCGCTAGGGACGTGTTGCCCTAAACCACTAGGTTGCCATATCCTATATCAAAGCCATATAGCATTGCGTATCAATCCAATTATATATGCATCCCTCGGCTCCGGTGCTGGACAAACCCTAATTGGCAAGATAGCAATCAATCGAGTGCCCGAGTCAGCAATGCAGCCAACACGTAAGCATTGATATGCATCATGTCATGGCCAATTGTTCTCATATTTTATTTTGTCAATACGAAAAATATGTAGGGACATGGGGCCCCGGCTAGTCTAAATGGAAATCCTAGTTTTGCCCGCCAGTTATGACACGCGGATGCCTATCTGTAATCTCAATGATTACTGCATGAGATGCCCAACTTGACTCACTGGAAGCAAACCGTCCACGGTTAAGATTCAAATGCGAAATGGCGGTCATGGTGGTGATGAGTAGCTAGACATGACGCCGGAACCATTATAAAATCATGCTCGTCGCCTCGTTGATTGTTCTACTTTCCATCTGAGTTGATAGTCAAACTCTGTAAGCTTCCCCGTCTGCAAAACCGAACGTAAGCCTTGTCTCTTTCCTGCTGATAGGTTATATTGCTGCTGACTTAATGCAGGTTGGATATCCGCGTACAAAATCATCAACTTTCAACATGTGCGTTGTATACGTCTATACCACGAAGCACATTGCATGTAGCGCGAGGCCAAATCATATAGTCACGGACCGAGAACCCCAGCCGCCATGCAATAAGCCCGATTTTCCGGGATACAAGGATATACATATGGTTATGACTACCAAGAGGCATGCGAAGTGCCCCGACTGTTGATGTTTGGAAGAGAATCTTGGCTAGTGTACAGGTTGAATGCGATGTGCTTTCTTCTGTTTTTCTTTTTGTAACACTCAGAATGTGGATGTCGATAGATAGGAAATGGAAGAGAAGACGTCATGGTACAAAGAGGATAACATTTCTTCCTACCTTGCTTTGAAATGGATTCTTCTGTCCCGATATCATCATTGTGTTGCCTCCCCGGGCTCTCTTGGGATGCTTTAATCTGCCAAATATCAAAAACGATTTCACTAGCGGGCTCATACTGTTGCCTCCAACATTTATCTGTGATATGAAAGCATACATGGTTGTCAGTAGGAAATTGGCCCTTTTTAAGCCGAGATTCCAATTCCTCTTCCTATTCCTCTTCCAAGGTGTCCAGCTCCGGAAAAATCTCATGCCCAGTCATGATGAAGTAGATGGCCGATCCAAATGCAAAAATATCAACCTTCACATTCACCTCATCTCGTTGTCATTCTGAGGCATGTATGACTTTGAATCACCTCTTGCAAGCCCGTCCAGTATAATTACTCCTCGTAAATCGGACTTGAGCGTTCCCTGGAAATCCGCAAGCAAAAGGTCAAGATTATCGTCAAGTAAGAAGTTCCGAAGGGCTATGTCGCAGTGGATGACATGTCTGGTGGATGTGCGCGATTGCCTCGACCAAAAACTGCACTGGTGCAAGCAAGCGGCTAAAAGAAACAACAGCGCCTGAGGTAATATACTATTGCAGGTTATCGTTGTGAGCACGTTGTAGCAGAAGACCGTGTTCGTTTAGACCTTTGAACCCAAGGATGTGGGGATGACTTCCGACGGCCTCGTATATCTTCGCCTCTATCTCAAGCCATTCACGACATTGATGATCGCCTTCAATTTTTGGGTACTTCATGACTGTCGATTCGTCCACAATGCCAATAAAACGGCAGGTACTACGGGCGATAATCTCTGAAACACCCGAAGGATAATATCGATTGATTGTAATGACCCTGACGTTGGAGGGAAGTTGACTGCTTTCTATATCTGTTGGCACGGTCGTGCCTTCTTATATAAGCATCTTCTCAGTCAATGGCATGCAATGAGATAAATTTACCTTTCCCCTCGTCGTTGGTTCAACTCAGAAGACACATCTTGCTCCTTTGAGCGACTTGCTGACCGTTTTTAATCACGCAAGGCTGTGAGCACAACAATGAATGGGTAGCGAATGGCTCGTACAACGGACGGTATCAAACATGATGGCATTGTGTGAAACGGAGTCAAATTGCTCTCGAGTACCTTGATATCAAGGGGATGGGAGAAAAGTAACTGCTGCGAAAGAGGAATCAGAGGCTGCTGTGTCCTCGAGACAAACACAAGGCACGTGATATAATGTGGCTGACTTGGTGACCACTGAAGGGATATCAAAAGATAGCTGAGCATGCGACCTTTCCTGAACATGCACGAGCCAATAGCAAAACATTCCGCAAATATCTCGGTCTTTAGGAATCCCAAGAAAAGCGACAGGTCCGGGACGGGTCAGATTCGAGTAATACGCTGCCGGACGGAAACACGTCCTTAACGTTTGATTCATGTAGCGGGCCGGGGCCAGCTCAAGGCGTCCTACACACGTTAGCCGGGATACGTCTTACAATCCCTATTCGATACTGGTTTTGCTCTCTGGGATATACATGGCATGGTTGACATATGGCGTACAGTGTAAGACCAAAGCAGGTTGCCATAGATACTGACTGTTACAGTCTCAAACTACATGCAGCTGCTTGTCAGCTACTTCGGTGTGTTGTCAAGATCACTGAGCACCACAGCCCCTTCATGCAGCGAAGCAGCCTGGGCTGAAGCAAACCCTTCTAAGTAGGCATCGAGTTCGTCGAAGCACCACGACAGGGAATTGACCGTGCAAGTTGAAGCAGCCAAGCAAGCGTATATAGTACTATAACTCTTCTTAGGTGACAGCAATGTATCAAACTCAAAAGAATTGAACTCGCATCGATCGCCTAGCATAGGCTCATTGTATGTCAAACTAAACGCAAAAAATGACGGACGGATATACATTGTCATGAGCAATAAAATGAATCAAAATAGGCATATGCTTCCAATTAAAACTAAATATAGGTAATAGAGAATCATTTCACGCCGAAATAAATGAATTGACGTCTACTTATAGTACTCCAGTAGAAAAAAAACTTCAGAAAAAAGTGGGACGCCGCATCCATCATTGATCGGATCTTTCTGCTGCCCCTCCATCACTTCAACGACCCTCTTAGGTCTCAGCAGTGAAGAGAGTCTCTAATTTAAGCCTCATAAGACTCAAGAATCATCAATTGAATATGGCAGATGAGACAAAACCCATGCCGGGTTCGTTACAGTAAGTTGTCTCCTTCCCCGCTATTTTACCGGAATCGGTTTATAAACTCGGGGAAAACACAAGGAGAATTGATGGATGATCATTATTGCAATTATATTGATAGTTTATGTTCCAAGCTAATTTATTCATAGACCTAACGAAGACCCCCTAGAAGCATACACCTCGCTTCTCCAATGGATGGCCCAACAAGACGGTCACCTTCACGAGAGCATTCAATTAGCCAGAGATGACGCTCGAGGAGTCCACCTGCAAGTCCGAAAGGACTGGCAAGATCGCATCCCCAAGGAGACCCGCATCATCAAGACTCCTCTTTCATCAACCATGTCCTACTTCAACGCTATTGACCACCGGCCCGCCGGAGATGGTGATGCGTCCACTTTCTCCGCACATGGCGTGCATTTTCCGCGGGAATTCATGGATGCCGTTGGACCCGAGGAGGCATCTGTGTTCTTTTTGATGGGACAGTATTTGCTGGGTGCGGAGGGGTATTGGGCGCCGTATATTCGGACGCTGCCGCAGCCGGGTTCGTTGACGACGCTGTTGTACTATGAGGAGGGTGATCTGGAGTGGTTGGATGGGACAAGTTTGTTGGGGGCCAGGCAGCAGAAGATGAAGTTGTTCAAGGATAAGTATGAGCATGGTGTGGAGGAGTTATGGAAGGTGGGGTTTGAGGATGTGGAGCGGTATACATGGTAAGTGATTGTGCATTTGTTAAGAAATTGTTCAGAAGACTTATTGTTCGAAGGGACCTGTATCTTTGGGCCTCGACCATCTTTGTCTCCCGTGCGTTCTCGTCCAAGGTGCTGTCGGAGGCAATTCCCGAAGAGGTCCTGACCGAGGAAGTGTCGGTCCTTCTGCCCTTCATTGATATTCTAAACCATCGTCCTCTGGCCAAGGTCGAATGGCGTGCTGGCGACAATGATGTTTTCTTTTTGACTCTGGAAGATGTGGCTGCTGGTGAAGAGATTGCAAATAACTACGGACCACGGAACAATGAGCAGTGTGAGTACTCTCACTATGAACTACTTCATGAATGTCCCGACTAACGGTTGCAGTGATGGTGAACTACGGCTTCTGCTTGAGCAATAACCTGTGCGACTATCGCATCGTCAGTCTACGAGCACCACCAGGGAGCCCGCTGTATGAAGCCAAACTTGCGCAACGACAGATGTATCCGGAAGTGGCAAAGGAAACAGACGACCCATACTACGTCTTCAACATCTTCTACCCTCTGCTTGCCCCTGATACGCCTATGGAGCATTCGATCTTCTCACCTGCGCTTTTCAACGCCGTTTCCATTCTGGCCGCAAACGACCGAGAACTCGAGTCGCTTGAGATATCTGAACAGGGCATCCGGATCCCTAATCAATATGGAACCTCGCGCACGATTCTCGCAGCAATAAGCCAGATCATCATCGAGTTGATTACGCATGTGGTCAAGTTAAAAGCTTCCGCAGGAGACTTGGAAGAACCGAAGAACATCAAGCAAACTCACGGGAAAATCTACCGTGATAGCCAGATCATGATCTCCGAGACTGCTTTGATCATCGCTGCATGGACCCTTAACCGGGCGCAACAGCATGGCTACACTGGAACCTGGGAACAGACCAAGATTATCCTCGTTGCCCACATGGCCCGTGTGCCTGCGGGCAAATTCTCCGAAGAAATTGTGTCTCGCATCCGTGTGAGAATCCTGGAACGCCCGTCGATTCTCACAGCCAACGGGGAGCTTTTTACCCTCAACGACTTGTACAACACCCTCCCAGACAAGATGCGGCAACCGTGCACATCCTCCCTTCAAACCATCTTGACGACTACGGAACGGGCAATTCCCATGCTGAGGGGCAGCGGCGAGTCATCTCCCTTCGTCTTCCCAATTTTTGTCTGTTTTATCACAGCGGTCTATCGCGCGGCTCCCGACACATCGGAACTCTCCCCGCGTCTGGCAAAATGGGCCCGCTTCCTCCTCGAAAACTATCCCCCGCCTCCTGATGACGTCGCTTGGATGCTCGAGGACGAAGACGATGAACAATTGGCCAGCTTGTTTGACGAAGAGGTGCTCGAGACAATGAGGACTCGAAATCAGGCAGTGTTCGACGATTTGGCTGCGTTTACCGGAGATTGGAAGGGCGATAACTGGTGGCTTTCTCCCAATTGGATCCGATGGGCGTGGATGTTGGTCGAGCAGGAGTCCGTCCAAGCGCCCGATGACCCATTGCAGATGTTGTCCGCGGGGGGCTCGGGACAAGTGATGCTGTCGACAGTATCGTATCTTTACATTCCGCAGGATGAGTCTGGACAGTAGACACCATAATATAACTGTTTAAATAGGTGATGAATAGAAATGCCAAAGAATAATCAATGTTGTATCGTCAAATCACAGCCGTTGCGTTGTTCATGCCAATGGGATTATTCAGCACCACGTGACCCACGGCCAATCAACAACCGTCCAAAAGCGGATATTCAGCAAGCGCAAACTGAGGCTCCAACGGCAGACCATCGCCAACCTCAACCTCTCTCGTCCTCCCTCCTCCACCTCTCCCCGCGCAAGCCATTGGGCGTGTCACATATCCCTCCTCCACCATGATATCTCGAGCGGCGGCTCCTTCGTCTTCCTCCCTCACCAACCTCTCCTCCCGCTCCGTCCGAGCCCAGGGCGCCGCAGTCCGTTCCTTCGCGACCGTCCAGGAGAACGCTCCCCCGGTACATCGTCATGGCGGTCTGAAGGACCAGGATCGGATATTCACAAACCTTTACGGACACCATGGGGCGGATCTGAAGTCTGCGATGAAGTATGGAGATTGGTATAAGACCAAGGATATGGTTTTGAAGGGTCATGACTGGGTAAGCAGATCCCTCTGCCCGACGGTGCATTCGAAGACATTGAGGGTCATTCTGGGACAATGGATGAAAGGGAATTATAGGTGCTGATATATTTTTGTCTCTACAGCTTATTGGAGAACTCAAGGCTTCCGGTCTTCGTGGTCGTGGTGGTGCCGGTTTCCCGTCGGGCCTGAAATACGTAAGTGGTGGAGTAGACTTTTGGTCTAAGGAAAAATATCCTAACTATATATGCGTGGTATAGTCTTTCATGAACTTCAAGGACTGGGACAAGGACCCTAGACCCCGTTACCTTGTTGTCAACGCCGATGAGGGTGAGCCCGGAACGTGCAAGGACCGTGAGATTATGCGGAAAGACCCCCAGAAGCTTATTGAAGGCTGTCTGGTCGTCGGACGTGCCATGAACGCCAACGCTGCCTACATTTACATCCGTGGTGAATTCTACCACGAAGCCACCGTCCTCCAGCGCGCCATTAACGAGGCCTACCAGGCCGGTCTGATCGGAAAGAACGCCTGTGGTACCGGCTACGACTTCGACGTTTACATCCACCGTGGAATGGGTGCCTATATCTGTGGTGAAGAGACTTCGCTCATCGAGTCCATTGAAGGCAAGGCCGGCAAGCCCCGTTTGAAGCCTCCGTTCCCCGCTGCCGTCGGTGTTTTCGGATGCCCTAGTACCGTCACCAACGTCGAGACCGTTGCCGTCGCCCCCACTATCATGCGCCGTGGACCTAGCTGGTTCTCGTCGTTCGGTCGTGAGCGTAACGCTGGTACCAAGCTTTTCTGTATCTCCGGCAATGTCAACAACCCCTGTACCGTCGAGGAGGAGATGTCCATCCCTCTGCGTGAGCTTATCGAGAAGCACTGCGGTGGTGTGCGTGGTGGCTGGGACAACCTGCTTGCCGTCATCCCCGGTGGATCGTCGACTCCTGTCATCCCCAAGACCGTCTGTGATGACCAGCTCATGGACTTCGATGCCTTGAAGGACTCCCAGACCGGTCTGGGTACCGCCGCCGTTGTTGTCATGGACAAGAGCACCGACATTGTCCGCGCGATCGGTCGTCTGTCGAGCTTCTACAAGCACGAGTCTTGCGGTCAGTGCACGCCCTGCCGTGAGGGAAGCAAGTGGACTTTGCAGATGATGCAACGTCTCGAGTCTGGCAAGGCCAAGGAACGCGAGATCGACATGCTCCAGGAGTTGACCAAGCAGGTCGAGGGTCACACCATCTGTGCCCTTGGTGAGGCCTTCGCCTGGCCCATCCAGGGTCTCATCCGTCACTTCCGTCCCGAAATCGAGGCTAGAATCCAGGAGTACCAGAAGGAGCTTAATGGTGCTCAGCCTTATGCCGGTGGCTGGCACCCTAACACCAGGGCTGAGGGCAAGTTGATTTCTCCTGGCATGTAAAATATTTTTTCTCCTATATTGAATGGAAGAAGAAAAAGGATGAAAGAGCATTCTCATAAAGATAAAGTGATGTGTTGATCGTGTATGAGCAGGATTGGCGTGTTTTGCCATTTACATTTTTTTTTTTATTCCTTGTCTGTTTAGGTTTGTTCATGTACAGTCAGTTCTATGGTAGCAATTATATTTCCTTTTGTTAACTGTGGTGTGTTGTCAAGAGTAGATTTACCTATGCCCTACAGGGTAATCAAGAAGTTATATAATAAACAGACCATAAAATTATTACAGATACAAGAAAAAACCAGCACCGAGCCTGATAATATCAATGCCATTTAAGAATCACAACCTTGCCCCGTCCAAGCCCATCCCCCAGAGCCTCAACCCCAACATTAGTGGCAGCCCTCGCAATCACACCAGTATCTGAACTCGGAGCGGAAAGGGAAAGTCCAAGTACTCTAAAAAATGCCCGGTAAATTGATCATTGGTGTCTAAACACCCAAACCGTTAAACAATGTTTCATCATTAAGCCATCCAAAGCATAACATCCTTTTACGAATTACCAGTGCCAGAAATAGTCCCATTCTGCTGCTGTTCCTGGCCCCCCTCCTAGCCCTTTATTTGTTCCTCCTGCTTCTTCTCTTCCTTCCTCTCTTTCTTTTCCTTCTTCTTCTCCATCTTCACACGCCTCTGCTCTCGCCACTCCATCCCATACTTCCCCTCCAACGACACAAATCCTAACCCAACCGCCATAACCAACCCTAAAAACGTAAAACACCATCCCCCACCCATTCCCCTAAGCATCTGATCAATCAACGCCGCGCCCACAGCTCCCAACCAACATCTAACCAGATTATTCGCCGCAGCTGCAGTGGCAGACCGATCTGGGAACAGATCCACGATCAAAGTGTTGAGTGTGTTAAGCGCAGCAACGAAGCAGAACCCGATAATGAACTGTAGGATTAGAGGTGCCACGAGCGGTGCGCGCTTCTGTAGAACCCAGCCGTAGGGGAGGTAAGTGAGGATGCCGACGGACATCAGCGGGAAGAAGGTCTGGAGGCGGGTCTTTTCTATGGGAAAGGTGCGGATGTCATCGCCTTTTTTGCGGTCGATGTGAAAGCCCAGGCGGGTTGCTGTACGGCGGTAGTTCCAATCGAGGAGTCTGCCGTTGAGGATGGCGGCAAGACAGGCGCTGGTTCCGAGGGGACTGTCTCTGTTAGCGTTGGAATAATGATTGGAGAGGGAAGGGGGGCTTACAGAAAACACAAACCAATCTGAAGATCATTGAACCCATATAACTTCGTGAAAATATTGGGCGTGCTGGTCAACAGCGCAATGTTCGCGAACATCACTATTCCAATAAACGTGATGATAATCAACGCATCCTTCTCCAGCAGAATCGCAAACGTCTCCAGCGGATTCGGAAACTTAAGCTTTCTTGTATGACTCGCATTATTGCTCAATGCCAACTGCTGCTCTTCATGTCCTTCTCGCTCTTCAGCCGACATCTTTTTCACTCGACGACGCTCAGCAAGGTACTGGATCAACGACATCCTCCACCACTCTTTGGGGGGTACGCTGCCATTCCCAACAACCCTGCGTGCAGTCTCGGGCATCATAATGGCGAAGACGACCAGGTATCCGCCACTGATAATCACCAGGAACCAGAATACGCTGCGCCAGCCGAGGAACTTTGCCAGGATACCTCCGATGACAGGACCTAGGGCTGGTGCTACCATGACACCTGCTGCCATGGGGCCAACGAACCGTCCTCGTTCAGATGGGGTAGCGATATCTGACACGACGCCGTATCCAAACGACACTGTACCACTACTCCCCGCACTCTGAAGGCAACGCAGTACAAGTAATGCTGCAAAGCTATCCTGCACTGCCAGCCCTATATTCGCCGCAGTGTAGATGACAAACGCCAGTATGTATGCCGGCCGTCGACCACCTGAGTCCGCAAACGTGCCCATAAAACTTGGTGCCAGACCCTGTAGAATCATGTACGTCGTCACCGTAAGATTAACGAGAGCCGTCGTCAGATGGTAGTTGCGGACGAGGGTTGGCATGACGGGGTAATAGATCTGGCCAGACAGAGGCGAGAAAAAGGAAGCCATGGAGATCATTGAGATAATGAAGCGTTTCTCATTCTTGGTGAAGGCTGAGTGAACTGGTGTTTGCTCGTCTGCTGGCTGTGCTTCAAGGGTTGAGGGTTCTTTGTCTGCCTGTTCACAATCACATTTGCCATCATTCTCACTTCCACGGTGGTCCTGACTTGATCCGCCGTCGGTTTTGCATTCAACGATGTCTGGGGTGGTGTCCTTCACCGTGTGAGAGGTCGACAGCGACGCCATCGTGCTATCTGATTCTTTGCGCCTTTCGTTCTCCATCGTTGCTCCCGTTAGGGGTCTGAACCGGAAACAGAGTCAGTCAAAGAGGGCAAGAACAAGGGAACACAGAAGCCCAGACGAGGACAAGGATACTCACCTACCGTGACCTCCGGGGATAGACGATTCGAGGCGTTGTCCAACGAGTTGACTCTGAGATGCGGATAGAAGCGTTGGAGATGGAAGACGAACGCTTAACGCTGACTATCAATAGTGATACAACGCAGGAATAGAATAGGAGAATGGGATTCTGTGATGCACAAGAAAAGAGGCGTCTTCACATGCTGTGTAATGCGAAGATGTCTCTGTATACATACTCTTCCCGGTACCGGCATGGCTCTTAAGGCAGGTGCCAATGAGACACTCTCCGGGGCCGGGATGGAGCCTGGACCGGCAGTGGGGGGTCTAGACGCGAGCAGTGAATGATGGGAGGGTGAGATCATGTTGGTATTCCATTATCATTGTCTATCTAAACCTAAGGCACCAGAAAGGGAAAAACAAAACCATATCGATTACACACAAGTCATCGTCGCTCGCCCTAATACACAAGAAGTAATAAGCAAACATTTTCATAATACAGGTGTCTCTTCTCCGTTCCCATCTTCCTCCTGTCTTTGTTTTTTAAAATTTCTTTTCTAGTAGCCACCGGCCATGATCACGCTGTAATATCGACGACTCATATCGGCCGTTTGCATAACACGCGCATCGCCAGTAAGCGGCAGGCTGAGGACGGAAGACAATTCGACAGCCTGAGACTCGTTAGCAACATCATCAGAAAAGCTGGTTTCGAAGGGAAAGGCACTCACATTCGCGTCCTCCTGAGCAGTCCACCCGGCAACAGCACGGCTCATCTCCTTAAATGCAACCCGTTCCTCCAATCCTTCAACACTCGATCCCTTTCCAACTTTCTCACCCATCATAACCAACGCATTCACCAGACGGTTCAACCGAGCTGGATCCCGCTTTCCACCCTTGGCAGTAGCGAGACGCAGGAAGTCTTCATAAACACCTCCGCCACTAGCCCATCCTCTGACCTTGCGTTCAGGTCCATCGCCAAAGCCAGAAATCAATGTCTCCAAAGTCGCGTAGTCTCCTTCGATGACCGCAGTAGGACCCACGATGCGACAGAAAGTGGCGTGTGCATCGTTCCAGTTCTTGCCACGGATCAGACAGTCGACTTCACGGGCAGCGTCGCCGGCGTCACGAGCACACAAGGCCTTGGCAACCCAGATCCAAGCCTCAGGGATCTGCAGCTCGTTGGAGAAGTACTGCCAGGCAGCATCGAGGGAACCATCTGCTGTAACAGGGTCGGGAAGTTGCGGGGCGAATCGTGCGAGCGTCTCCTTGATGGCGCGCTCGCGGTCAGATGGCCGAGAAAGGTGCAGAAGGACAAACATGGCGTTCTCCAATTGACCGCCGACGCTAAGTTCCCACGCGTAGTCCCATACCAACTGATCTGCTTGAGCAGTGCTGACATTGAAGTGTTGGTTCTGCCCCACTGCGGCTGTGAGCAGTTGGTACAGCTGGAAAGACAGGCGGTTGGACAATCGGTCTCCCGAAACAGACTCGGGTAGGAGAGCAGCGGGAAATTCGAGTGCAGCAAGACTGTCACCCTTGGTAGTGCCGGTGAGCACACAGTAGACCTTGATTAGAACCCAGAGCGGAGATTCTCGACCAAGCGAATCAGGCGTTGTGTGCATCACTCCGGCATCATCAAAATGAGAGGGGCACGGGTGAGCAGGCTCGCCCCCAACGCTCAATTCGTCAAGGAACTTGGACACGGCAACCTCGAGGGGCTCATCGTCAGTGATGGAGTACCAAAGACGGAGACCAAACGCCTGGAACCAATCCAGCTCAAACCGCTCGGTAACCGTAAATGTAGAAGCGCGGTCCTCCAGGGCACCGTTCGATTTACCCTCGCTGCGAAGAGCATTACCAGCAAGCAGCTCGTAAAGCGCACGGACAGGCTCGCTCATCTCCGAGTACACGTTGTGCTGACGCCACATCTCAACCTGTTGAGCCATATCCGCACGAGTCGTGGGGTCACGACCGATCTGCGCAACCAAGGTGGCCAGGCGGAAATTCTGATTCACCATCAGGACCTTGCAAGCCTCCTCGATTCGGTGTGCGCTCAGCAAATATAAGGCACGCTCCTCAGGCGAAGAAGCGCGTTCCAAATCACGAACAAGCTTCTGGCTAACAAGACTTTCCCACAAGCGGCTAAGTCGATCTTTCTTGATACGAGCCGCATACTTTGATCGAAGTTGAACAGGAACCGTTGCAGAGAGATCATCCTCGATGTCTTCGTTGAACAGCACATTGGCCAGTTGCCAGACAAGTCGCTCGCTATCGGATTGTGCCGAGACAGAGGAAATCTGGGTGAAACGTCGGAAATCAGCCTGAGGCAGACGGGCGAAGGGAATGCCATCAACGCGATTGATAGTCGACTGTTGCTTTTGTGCGTCAAGCATGTCACCAGACTGTATATTGTCAGTTGTGAACTCCCGGTCAAAGTGCGAATAGACCTACCTCTGGGGCCTTGTCGTAGGCCAAGACGATGATGTCTCTGTTCTCGCTAGTGATAGGGATTCCCTGCTCCCATCGTTCATTCTCAGCCTGAGTATCCTTCATCTCGTTCTTGACCGTAATAAGGGAATCCATCGGACCCCACCGCGGCTTAAATGAGTGATGGAAAGCAATATCGTCGCGACTCAACTCGTTCGATTCACCAGCAAAGGTCTTTGGTTGCTTGTGATAAGGCCACTAAAAGAAAGAAGAACAGTTTAGCTTATGATTCAACTATCTGGAGTGTATATAATGTCATCCAACTTAAATACATCATATTGTTACAGCAACAGGCAAAGACAACAAATCGCAAATGAAATGAAAGATAAAAGAAAAGAGGGGGAAATCAAACCTCAACACCAGTATGTTGTACATTGTGCACCTTCAAAGGAGACTGAATTTGTTGCTTTCGTGGCTGTTGGAACAAAGAATTCATCAAATCAATGCTGGTCGCAAATCCCTTCGATTGGGCCTCCGCAGTCGACTTCTTGGTGGGTGTAGTATCATGCAAAGGTCGGTCGTTGAAAGCATTTCCTTGAATCTCACGGAGTGCGTCACGATTCTGCTTCCTAGGGCTGATTGTTCGTTGCAGCTGCTCAGCCCAATCACCACTCAGATTAAGGCGAGCCTTGGCCGGTGTGTTCCAAGGCTTAAGCGAGGGCTGGTTCTCCATGTAACTGTCGGTGCTTGGAGAAACCTGGCGCTCCACGGTGGGACGAAGGCTCGGAAAGGCGCCCGCCATATCCATTTCCTGATCTTCATCCAATTCAACATCTGATTCGCCAGACTGCTGGCTCACGGTGGCATCTTCATAGCCGCCTTCTTGCTCAGTAGTTGAACCCGTGGAGCTTTCCCCTAAAAAAGAACCCTCTTCTTCGCCATCGGCCGATTGTTGTTCTTCCTCCACCTCCATCTCCTGAACGCCAAACGCCCCGGGAACCATCTTGCGCTTCTTGAAATCGAATGTGTCATCGTCCACCCCGGCTACGGAACCAACAAACGAGTCGTCAGTAGAGAAGGTGGATGTCACCGTCTGATCGAAATTGGCAGTTGCCGGAGCCTTCGGAGTCGGAGTGTCAGGAGCCGCACTACTAACAGTGCTTTGGTTGAGGCCCTCACCTGCTTCTTCTTCGTCCTCGCTATCATAATCGAGGCCATAGGTAGTGTAGTGAGGCACCCGGAAAACCCATGTTCCAGTCTCTGTCTCGTAGTCAACGAACTCAGCATTCACGACCTTCCTCAAGCGGTCAATGTGCCTCTCGAAGAGGGGACCGCTGGTCACGGGAGATGGCGATTTCCTGTCACGGCCACGAGGCCAGGAGTTCTCAATCCGGAGAGTCGACGGGACGTTAAGACCTTTGCCCATCGGGGGCTTGATGGCCTCATCAGGGTACACCGTGATCTTTCTCACGTTAATCTCCACAAGACCTCCGAAAATTTGGTCCAGGTCGACGGTTGTCAAGTCAACGGGTTCATCAAAGGTCACTTGACCACAGCGTTGACGTCCAACAATGAGGCCTACAAAGCTCTTCAGCTGCTCACGGGGCAATTTGCTGAGCTCAGCACGAGAAGGCTTCATCCAGTAATCACCGGGTTTAGGGTCTGCACCGGGTGTAAATGGAAGTCTGGTCTCGCCATCCGTGATGACGGATTGCTCTGCATCCTCTGGGACGGCCGGGAGTTCCTTGGCAGATTCTGCGCCATCAAACGACGACTTGGAACTGCTGGTTCCGTTCATGCTGCCACTCTTGCGGACGGAGCGCAGGAAACCAAGCTCCTCGGGAGTTGGTTCCGCGCTTTCAACCTCTGCCGCAACCAGCTCACCGCCAGAGCCATCGGGGGTCTTGGAGGCTGCAGAATCGAAACTAACTCTCTTCTTGCCCTTGTCGGTTGGCTGAGCGGAGTCCTCACCGTTGGTAATAGGAGCAGGCGATGTGCTAGTGGGGCGAGCGAAGAGGTCGTTTCTCAAGCTGCGGTCAATGGTAAGTCGCTTGAGACCACCACTGGACAGACGGTTGGTGCCAGAGGAAAGAGCACCAGGAGACAAGACGCTATCCGTATCAGGGTCAAAGCTCTTGCGCAGGTTGCTAGTGGAGAAGCTCTTGCTGAAGCTGCGGTTGAAGCTACCGCCATTGAGGCTTCCGCGCATGCTACCACCGCCAATCAGGCTGCCTCCAAGACCGTTTGACGTGTTCGTGGAACTAGAGGGCGACCCGTAAGTGGAATAAGAGAAACCATATCCTCGCTTTGGCGGCGTGGCAAGACGGGTGGAAGCACTGGGAGTGGTCTTGTGAACAGGCAGAGGGGTTCGTTGCTTTTGCTTCATAGAGGAGGACAAAGGCGTGGCCAGGGGACCGGGGCTTGGGGCGCTTGGCCCAGGCAGGCCAGAGAAAATGGATTGGTTTCCGTAGGGGTTGCCATCGAAAAGGGAAGCCTGCAAACTACCTGGCGTTGGTTGCTGCGGCTGCTGTTGTTGAGGTTGCTGGGAGGCACCAAACAGACTGCTCCCCAATCCTCCCGTCTGAGGCTGCTGGCTCTGGGTGTTACCAAACATCGAAGCGCCAGCACCCTGGGGGGCTGTGTTCTGGCTACCGCCGCCGAACAAGGAACTTCCCGTGCCTGTGTTACCAAACAGACTTGGTTTCTGTTGTTGCTGCTGGTTCTGGGCAGCACCACCACCGAGCAAGCTGCTAGCTCCAGTTGGCTGGTTTTGGGTGCTACCAAAGCCCCCGCCCCCGAATGGGCTAGCGCCAGTACCCGTGCCCGTTGTCGACGAGCCGAAGAGACCTGGTTTCTGTTGCTGCGGTTGTTGGGCGCCACCTCCAAAAAGGCCGCCTCCAGTTCCAGTTTGCTGAGTACCGCCTCCGAAAAGCGAACTACCGGTGTTTTGCTGTTGGTTTTGTTGATTGTTCTGCCCAAAGAGGGACGAACCTGTCGTACCACCAGCACCCCCTCCAAAGAGACCACCGCCACCGGTGGGTGGTTGCTGTTGAGTGCCCGTGCCGAAGCCACCAGCACCACCGCCAAACAACCCCCCCTTGTTCTGAGTCTGATTCTGGCCGCCAAAGCCGCCGCCAAAGGCACTGGTTCCAGTCTGCTGGGTGCCGCCAAATGGCGAAGCTGTAGCCGGAGTGCCTCCAAACGGGCTGGCTGAAGTAGTTTGCTGGTTACCGAAGCCGAACCCAGTGCCAGTGCCAGTGCCAGTGCCAGTTCCAGTAGCTCCAGTGGCCCCGGCGCCAAATAACGGCTTACTTTGTTGTTGCTGTTGGTTGTTATTGCCAAACAACGAGCTGCCAGTGCCGGTGCCGGCGCCGAAGCCGCCAGTCCCAGCTCCTGCGCTGCTTCCGAAACCGCCAGTAGTAGAAGTGTTGTTGCCAAACATGCTTGGCTGGGAAGTTCCGGTAGGGGCCCCTCCTCCGAACAGAGACGTTGCGGGCTTTTGTTGTTGACCGCCGAACAAGGAGCTGCCCGCATTTCCAAAGCCACCGGCGGTCTGGGTCTGGGTACCAAACGCAGAAGGAGCGCTGGTGCTGCCCCCGAATGGCGAGGCGGCGGTGTTGCCAAAGCCCCCTGTGGGTTGTGCGGGTTGTGCGGGTTGTGTGGGTTGTGTGCCAAAGCCGGATCCGCCAAACGCAGAGGTACCGAAAGCGCCAGCTTGACCACTTCCATTTCCGAAACGACGGCCTCCGTTATAATCACCCAATCGCAACTCCTCGAAGGAATACTTGTTGTAGGGCTGCATGAACGAAATGCTTTGGTAGTGGTTGGTCACGTTGGAACTGTTGTCTTTCTCGGTGAAAGGGCTGAATGGAGTGCTGGCAGTACCATCGGATGGAGGAACAGGTTGGTTGAAGGCAGTTCCTGTTCCACCGCCAAAACCACCAGTGGCACTCCCTGCTGCTGCTCCAAATCCGCCACCGCCTGTGCCAAACCCGCTTGTTCCAGTACCAAAGCCTCCGCCGGTCTTGTTACCAAATAGCCCACCACCTGAGCTTCCGAGCCCACCACCTGAGCTGCCGAAACCACCGCCAGTGTTGCTCGATCCGAAGCCACCGCCGCTGCCACCAAACCCAGCACCTCCAGTGGTAGAGGTACCACTGCCAAAGAGGCCTCCACCGGACGAAGTGCCCGTACCCGTACCCGTGCCCGTGCCCGTGCCCGTGCCCGTGCCCGTGCCGAAGCCACCGGCGCGGTTTTGGCTTCCAAATAGTGAGTTGGATTGATTTTGCGCACCGAATCCTGCAGAAAAATCGCATGTTAGTATCGGAGATGTGCAATGTTTGCTACTTCAAAAATGAAAATTAAGAAAGCGGATCCTTGGACACAGATCCCCGGCGGCCTATCCAGTCGTTCTGTCGGTCGTGATGTAGGTATTCCAAAATCCAGAAAAGTTTGGAGATGTCAGCTTCCCCGGAAGGACATCGAGTATGGAGATAGCAGTCGTGTGAGGCGCCACTCGGAGAGTCCATGCCGCAAAAATCCGTCGAAAGAAAAGAGTCGTCAAGCTCATGAGGGTGTAGTCAACAAGCACATACCACCACCGGAACCGAAGCTACTGGAGGTATTCCCAAAAAGGCCACCGCCGGTGCTACCAGTAGTACCGCCACCACCAAACGGAGATGATGTGGATGATCCAAAGCCTAGATGACGGGGATGATGCGGTCAGAGACTGTCATGAACCTGATTTTTCTTGGATGCTTTTGGATGTCGCTGTGTCGCTCAGTGTCGAAGGAATTCCATTCCGCGCTTAAGGATGTAAATCGTTTGTCTTTTGCTGTAACTGTTGGAGCTGTGGCTGCGGATTGTGGCGGATTCGACATCGAGGAGCACCAGCGTACATTTGGATGTGTCTCAAGGAGCGCGCAAGTAGGAAGAAAACAGAGGGGGTAAAATGGGGAGTGAATGGACGGGGTCGCGCAGCAAGTGAAAAAACCTACCTCCACCGGTACTCGTTCCTCCAAATCCTGAGCCCGTGCCAAAGCCGGAGCTCTGGTTATTCTGACCGAATCCTCCGAATCCGAAAGACATGTTTGCTTCGTCGTGGTTGTTCGTTCAGATTATGGATTCATCCGTTCGCAGGTTCGAGAGAACGCGGCACGATATTAAATGAAGTAGTACTAATAAGAGATACACAAGGATTCGAAGAATAGAAGTAGAAGATAAGTCTGCGAAAGAAAAGCCAGAGGATAGAAGTGTCGTCAGAAATTGAAGCTGTGCAAGTCGAGATGACGCGCAAAAACTTCAGTTCTGTTTTTTCAGTCCCCTTTCCCCTTCGCACTTAGATAAGGAGCAACGCAGGCTGACTCAAAGCGAAGTCAGGATGCGCCGATGCGAAAGAGAAATAACCAGAGTTGGTGGCAAGTAGAAAAGAGAAAACGTTGCCGCAACGAAGACGCGAACGCCGCCAGAAGGGGAAGATGTGGAAGAGAGAGAAGAGACGCTCGCTGGAGTCGGGCAGAGAAACAGCCGCAGGTGGCGGAACAGACCAAAAGTGCAGCCACATATGTATTGGTCACGTGGTTTCTACCTACAGCAACTAACTGCTTATGGAAATTGAAGTAGAACTAGCTAGAATTGTCGAAAGGATTGAATGTGAATCTATGAGAAACCTCGAGTGCTCGTATATATATGACTATGTCTTGTCAGGCATCTACGGTCTCCTCTCTCCACGGATTCCTCTGCTCCGTTTCCAGGGAAGCCTACGGAGTGCATCACACACTCAGACTCTGCCTCCTCCAAATCTTCAGCGGCATCGGCCCTGGGCTCAGATTAGTCGTCTCTGGAATATGAGGATTCCACTCAGGCTGTGGCAAAGCAAACTCGAACCGATGGACCAAAGAAGCCAAAAGCACCGTCTGTTCAAGATAGCTAATATTCCGTCCGATACACCCCCTCGCACCAGTGCTAAACGGGATGAAATACGGCTGCAAGGCTTTCCCAGCTTCACCAAGCCAGCGCTCTGGTCGGTAAACACTATGGTCTTTGAAGATGGATTCGTTGTGGTGGACCACGTACGCTGACATGCTGACTGAGGTGTCGCCGGGGATATACTCGCCTAGAATGGTTGTTCCTTCTGGGGGCGTTCGACGGGGGAGGGCGAAGATTACCGGTGGAAGCATCCGAAGGCTTTCGTCTAAACATGCGCGGAGGTACGGGAAGTGCTTGAATTTGGCATAGGGCGCGATGACTTCATCTTTGTCGAGGACGGTGTCAATCTCAGCACGGAGCTTCTCCATGCACTGCGGGTTCTTCAGCAGGAAGAACATGACATTCCGCAGCGAGATGGCAGTGGTGTCAGATCCAGCGTTCATCATGATGCTGATTTCAGCCAGAATCTCGCCCCATTCCAGGTTGTGCGGTTTGCCGTTCTTATCCTCCATCATGGCGGCGAAGAAATCGTCCAGCTTCTCTCCGGCTAGGTATCGCTTGAGTCGAGTTGTTCCACGGTTGAGAATGACCCCATTCCAGTCGTCGTTCAGCTTCCACAGTCGACGGTAAGTCGAGGAGGCCAGCTTGCTGATTCGAGCCAGGGTTTGGTACCAGTCATAAGCCCAGACCAGGTTATACGTAACTCGACCAGCAGCAGACTGACACTCCCGGAAAGAAACATGCTTGACATTTCCATCTCGAATCTCCGATTTCACCAAATCCGACCCTTGATCCAAAAACCGCAGATCCTCACTCAGCCCAATACTCGCAATCGCGGCGATGGTATATAAATTCGTCCACATTCGATAATCAACTTTCAAATCCTCCTCCTTCGGCAATTGCCCAGGAAGCAACGGCTCCGTACACCTCTCATCAAAGGCCTTGACCAACCTCTCCGTCATATCACCCACTTTATACTCCCACTCCTCAAGATTCTTCAGCGCATACGCACTAGCCAAAACTTTCCGCTTCCGCGCATGCTGACCCTTATCTACCACATCCGCGAGATGAGCATGCGTCCCTCCCGTTTCTGAATAAAACCGGTCCTTGACGCATGCGGTACCGTGGCCGTAGATGTCTTTGATTGCCCGTGGGTTACCATAAGAGAGCGAGTTTGGTCCGACGCGGAGGATGGGGCGGTTCTTGTGCGCTTCGTAGAGGTTCCTGGAGCGGAAGCTTTTGTGGGCTTCATAGATATAGGGGAGGTCGGATATGCCGGACAATTTGTAGAAGTTGGGATATCGGTGAAGACCTTTGGGATCGCGGTAGTAGGTGGTTATTGGGATCACCACGTAGGAGGTGAAGAGGTACAGGAATAGGGCTGCTAGGATTTCGACGTACATGGTGGGCTTGCGCCTGTGTTCGATGAACAAGGTGAACAAAGAAATTGTGGCATGTTGCAGTCTCGTCTGGATATCTAGTAGTCTATATACATTCCACAAAGCAGCTGAATTGAGTGTCTTCGACATGGTGTCTGCTGGATATCTGCTGGGATACTTCCAACAGCGGATACAGAATCGGCGAAGGGTTACCATAAAAGGAAGACCATCGGCGACTCTCGCCCCAAAAGGGAAGATCATGTTCACTACAAAGACAACCTAGCCTACACTTCTGTCTTACCCCATCACTATCATCAAGTATCCCCCAATCCTCTACTCCGTTGATCTAGATCTGGAAGGAGAAATATACCCCGGACAGAGCACAGCTGCTCATGAGTTGTCGTGGAGTAAAATGCGGGGAAATCGCCGAAAATCTCCCGTTCGTCAACATCGGCGATGTCCTTCTTTAAAGAGAATAATCGGCGATATCACAGGTCTACTCTGTGTAGAATACCACAATGCCACCGAAGCACAATCCCTGGTAAGTAGCTAGCCACTGTTAGCGAACAATTGCTAAGACGGCACAGTGAGAATTGTCGAAGTATGTGATGGGTATTTGTTGCTCGCTGCGGGGCTAACATGGCTGGGATATAGGGCATCATGTCAAATGTATTCGTCTCCTCTCCAGGTGAAAAAGAAGGATTTCGTTAACGATGACCAGGCGATAATGGCAGCCCTAAATGCACACGATGCGAGAAATTCGGGAGGGAGTGCATTCGACGGGTGAAGTTTCGCCATGGCTCGGGCTCGACTGGTTTGTTTACATTTCATTTACCATGTAACCGTGTCACTGGTTGACCAGTGAGGACTAGTGAGATATATCGACGAGACGCCCAAGTTCACAGGGACTTCGACGGACCCTTCCCCACGATCAAATCGTGTCTCAAATGACGATCCAACTCCTCACATTCCAACGCTCTCTCAACCTACCTCACCAGACAAGCCTCAAAGCAACCCATACCCCTTGGCTCCAAATCGGCCCTAGTGAATCATGTCTCCTTCGTTACTTTGTCGAAGAGCTAGCAAGATGGGTACTCGCCTACCATTCACCACTGTGTATACCCTGTCCACTCTAATAACGATATCTAGTTCGACATCTGCGATCCTTCAAACCACTTCGAAAGTACAATCCCCCAGCGAGCACGCGAATGTTTTACTCTCCGGCATGTAATTCTAGCTGCGTCAGCGAGACATTTCAGTACCCTGCCTACGGACCGACAGACAGCTACCTTCCAGAAATACAATATGAAGCACGATATAACAATCGACGAAGAAACAGTGCTATACTACCACAATCAATGCATCACAGATCTCCGCTCCCTAGCTGCTCAACCAGACGCAATCATGGACGAGAATCTGCTCGCGGCGGTGGTTATACTAAGATTCTATGAGGAGTTAGACAGTACTACCCATTCCTTTCCCATTCTTTTCGCTAAGCCCAACTGACAAATGAAGACCCCTTCGTAGCCCTCCCCACCGAAACTGCCGCTCGCGGACTACATGTCTTTATCGAGGCACAAGCGCAAACCGCACTCTCTCCTCCCCCTACCCTTCCGTCCAATTCCAATGCCAATGGCACTCTCCGACAGGCAGTCTTCTGGACGGGCTTCCAGCAGGAATTCCACATGGCGTTTTCGCAACAACGGCCCTTTCGTCTTCCGCTTTCACTTTCTGTTACGCAGGGTCATCTAGTCTGGATTCCTGCGTCGGATGCGGTTTGGACCAATCGACTGCTTATTATTGGAGCACGGGTGATTCAGTACTGCTATAATGATACATTTCCCGGATACGGGAGTGTAGCTGGGTATCGCGAGTTACTTGCCCTACGGGGTAAATGGGTTCGTTCGAGACCTATATCTTTCTCGCCCGTGTACATTGAAGAACCAAATCCGGAAGAAAAGACATTCTTCCCAGGAATATGGTATCTAGACGACTGCCACATCGTCGCAGCGCAAACCCTCAGCCTTCTCGATATCCTCTTCACTGCGTATTCACCATACATTCCTCGCATCGGATCTGCGCTCCATCTGGAGATGGAGAATGTAGATGAGAAGTTGAGGACTGCTGCGTTGGAGATTTGTGGGATTGCAATATCGAATAAATAGTCTGCGCCGGCGTTGACGACGGCTTGTATTGCGGTTAGTATTTGCGCAGAGAGGTTTGTTGGTTGCTGTGAGGTGCAGAGGGCGTTGATAGATGTGGTTGTTGATATGGGGGGGGGGAGTTGAATTATTGGCCGGCAAGGGTTGTGCAAAATAGGTTGGAAGTGGTTTGGGGTGAATTGACCTAGTTTTCTAGGATAGCTGAATTGAAGCTTTCTACGTTGACTAGAGTACTCTGATGAAGTGATGATATTATGCAATTCATTCATGAACATCTGCAACTAACGCAATAAAAGGGAATCATAAGGTATGTAAATCAAACAAAAGCAGGGGTGACAAGAGCCCACACATATATAAAGCAGCATATGCATATAGTCGTCGTCCACATCAATATATATTTTTTTTTTTTTTTTCATTCAATTCGTCGCTTACTTCCGCGAGGCGTGAACAGTATCAATGATTCTGTTCACAACGGAAGGATCCGACAGCGTTGAAGTGTCACCAAGGCTGTCCTCCTCGCCGCTGAGGATCTTGCGCAGAACGCGGCGCATGATCTTACCGCTGCGAGTCTTGGGGAGGTCGTCGACAACGAAGACGGCCTTGGGGGCAGCGAACGGTCCAATGGACTTACGGACCTGCATGACAAGGTCCTTGCGGACTTGCTCGTTGGTCTCGTTACCCTCCTTGAGAGAGACGAAGGCGTTGACGGTCTGGCCGGTAAGTTCATCGGCGATACCGACGACAGCTGCTTCGGCAACCTGGGAGTGCTCAAGCAGAGCGGCTTCGATTTCAGCAGTGGACAGACGGTGCCCAGAGACGTTGACAACATCATCGACACGGCCACGGATCCAGTAGTAGCCGTCCTTGTCACGACCAGCACCGTCACCAGTGAACTGCAAAGGTTAGCGTCGTGAAAATGACTGGAGTTGGGAAGGAAAACTTACGTAGTAGCCCTTGTAAACGTTTAGGTAGGTGTCCATGTAGCGCTTGTGGGCACCCCAGACGGTACGGGCCATAGAGGGCCAGGGCTGCTTGAAAGCAAGCACACCCTCGACATCGTTGCCAGTGATTTCCTCGCCCGAGACGGGGTCAATGATGGCGGGCTCGATACCGAAGAACGGCAGAGAGGCACTACCGGGCTTGGTGGGAGTGATACCACCCAGGGGAGTGATGACGTGGGAACCGGTCTCGGTTTGCCAGTAGGTGTCACAAATGTGAGCCTCCTCCTTGCCAACCTTCTCAAAGTACCACTTCCAGACTTCCGAAGCAATGGGCTCACCAACGGAACCAAGGATACGCAAGTGCTCCATCTGGTGCTTGATGTGCTCGTCACCAGCACGCTTGAGCAAGCGCAGGGCGGTGGGAGCAACGTAGAACTGGGTGACCTGGTACTTGTCGATGACATCCCAGTAGCGGGAGAAGTTGGGGTAGGCCGGGGTACTCTCGAAGACGACGGTGGCACATCCCAAAAGCAAAGGAGCGTAGACAACGTAGGTGTGACCAGTGATCCAGCCAACGTCACCACCGCAGAAGAAGCGGTCGTCGTCGTGGATGTCAAAGACATGCTTGCCGGTCATAGCAGCACCGAGCAGGTAGCCAGCGGTAGTGTGCATGACACCCTTGGGCTTACCAGTAGAACCGGAGGTGTAGAGCAAGAAGAGGGGGTCTTCGGAGTTGACGGGCTCGGGAGGGAAGTAGTTGGGGTACTTCTCAACCTCCTCGTGCCACCAGAGGTCACGGCCAGCGGTCCAGGGGACCTCAGCGCCGGTCCGCTTGAAGACGAGAACGCTTGTGACATCGGGACACTGCTTGAGAGCCTCGTCGACGATGCGCTTGGTACCAATGACCTTGCCACCACGGCGACCCTCGTCAGCGGTGATGACGACCTTGGAGCCAGCGTCGAGGACACGGTCACGGAGGGAGTCGGAGGAGAAACCGGCGAAGATAACGGAGTGGACGGCACCAATACGGGAGCAAGCAAGGAAAGCAATGAGAGCCTCAGGAATCATAGGAAGGTAGATGGCAACAGTGTCACCCTTCTTGACACCCTGCTGCTTAAGAGCCCAGGCAACGCGGGAAACCTCACGCAAGAGCTCTCCGTATGTGATGGTGCGGCCCTCGCTGGGCTCGTCGGCCTCGTAGATGATGGCGGTCTTGTTGGGGTCCTTGAGGGCGTGACGGTCGACACAGTTGAAAGAAGCGTTCAAACGACCCTCAACGAACCAGGCAACATCACCGTTGGCGAAGGAACCGGAGCGGGTGGTTTGGAAGTCCTTGTCGAAGGTGAGGAGCTCGCGGGCCATGCGAGCCCAGAAGGTGTCGGGATTGCGGATGGACTCTTCGTGTAGCTTCTTGTACTCGTCAAGGTCTTTAAGGTGAGTGCCTGTGGGGTGCTTGTCATAAAAGGCCTTGGGAATGTTGAAGGTGTCGACATCGTGGGCCTCGGAGACCTGCAGAAGTTAGTTCCTCCATAGCATTGCTTTTATATATATATATATATTTTTTTTTTTTCTCTTAACGCTAAAGCTTACCACTGCGGGCTTTGGGGGCATGACGTCTCCTTCAGACATGATTGTGGTGGTATCGGTGGTGAATTAGGGAGGAATGGGAAAAGAGGAGGAATTGAGAAACTGCGAGCGAGAGAAAAGTCAGCAATTGGTCACGAGTCGGGATGACAGCAGAATAAACTCACCGGAACGCAGGGTTGTTGAATAGAGGAATTGGAGGAGGATAGGGAAGGAAATAATGTGTAGAAGAAGAGAGTGCAGGAGTAGTAAAGAGAAAGAAGAGAGGAAGAAGAGAGGAAGAAGAGAGGAAGAAAATGGGACAGAAAAGATGCTAAGTAGAATTAGAGCAGTGGGGAGGAGTAAGTAAATTGGATGGGAGAGCGTTGGGGAGGGGATCTTCTTATATTGAGTTGGTCGGGGCACCGGTTCGTGGTCACCACTCTCTACACTCTCGGGCGATGAGGCGAGTTAGATGAATTACTACTACCACAGAGTCTATTCTACCACTACCCAATGCCCTCGTCTCCAATATGACTTCTTTCCGGAGACAGACTCGCTGCAACTCTGACCATTCAACCGAATTCGGCCATGCGGGGCGTGACAGGCTTCTGTTCCGTTGCTCCGGAGAATCGCTGGACTCCGGAGAAAGAGGGAGCACATGGAATACATCGAATCCTACTGGAAGATATGCATATTGGCATTCGTGGGGTTTGTCTTTTTGCCCGAATATACTCCGTACAAATACATTCCAGAGATGCAGATGGCGGGGGGAGGCTTTTTCCAAATTACCCTATTCTAGTACATAGTTCAGAATCCTCCAAAAATACTCATATCCAACACCGCCATATGTACTTCTGTATGTAGTTCTTACTCAGGCGACTCGTCCAGACACTGAATCCAAAGACGATTATGATTGTCATTACGGACTCGAACCGATTGGGCACCAACTCGGATCGACTCCCCTCTCCCACTCCCCAGACGGCCGCACGGAAGTTCGGTCATACTGGTTTAACCAGTCCCTTATACCGTCGCCGAGTTAGCACCGAGGTTATGGAGGAAGGGATTCTTTTTTTTTTTTTTTGACTATGACCCGAAAATGCTGGATTCTGTCGGGGTATTTAAGTAGCCATGGTCATCCTCTGTCAGAGCACGTTTTCCCTAATAAAGGCCCGGTCAGTTGCTAGTTCCTACTAAGCGCCGCTAAGATGATCGTCTTCCCGCCATCGTGGACAGTTTCTGGTCCGGCTGCACGCCGCCACTTCCGGAAGGTCTCCATGCGGCGCAGCAGTAGAAGAATTGGACAATGGACACGAATACTATAGAATTTCATGCAGAATACGGAATAACAAGTAGACAATACGATTATCTAGACAAATCACCATCCCTGCCACCATGTCCCCATCCCTAGCACAAACACCATCAATGCTCCATCCCGAACCGCATCTCGCGCCATTTCCACCCACACCCCTATGCCTCCGTTCGCACCCCGTCGGCTCTTGAGTGCCATCCGCGCTCCACTCAACACCATCTCCCCTGTCGTGAACACCACAAAGGGATTCTGCGCCGTCGCTGGCGGTGGAGGAGAGTTGCCATAGGTTGCTACCGACGTGCCGATCACGACCAAAACATAGACCGCCATAACCAGCGCAAAAACCACATGAATCATTTTCCACATCCATGTCTCTTGTTTGTCCGCCTCCGATTTAGTCTGCATGGCTGCTCCAACCAGACTTGACAGGAACGGCGGGAGACCTAGCGCAGACAGCAGATCGGCCTGTGATGGTCCTTCTGCGCCCCCTGCCCCTTCCCCCCCTTGTTCTGATCCCGGCACGTTCCCTGCAAGAATTGAATGAAGTAATTTCACGGCCGGATCTTCGTCCTCGGTCCCTGGCTGCTGCAGCTGTTGCTGTTGTCCTTGCGCAGGGGCGGCTTGTCGGAGAAGCGCCCGGAAGTACTCCTGCTGCGACTGGAGGTCATCCGGTGATTGTTGATCCTGGATGTCCGTAGTCGGAGTCACAGTCGGTGCCGGTCGGGGGGCGGATGTCAAGCTCGTTGGCTGTGGTGCTGGAGTCGACGACGCATCTTCACGGTCTGTAGCAGTCAGTATCTGGTTTACCTTGTAAATTCCTTTCATGTTGATAGTGCAGGAAAAATAAAAAAATATAATAGAATAAAAGAGAATAAAAGAGAATAAAAAACATACCACTCGCCGGCGTCCGTCCACTCATACTGGTAATTTTGTCCAACCGCTCAGCACCCCCATCTCTAATCTTGGCCTCTCGACGTTCGCGACGGAGACGGGCAGACCTCTGCGCGGCCGATTCTTCTGGGGCAGACATTGCTTTGTTTTGTTCTCGTTCTCGTTGCGCGATAACAGGGACAGTCAGGAATAATGATTCGTTGGTCTTGGTCTCGGTCTCGTTTCGTCTCGTCTCGTCTCGCTCGCGGCAGTGTCCGTCGTGAGCAACAGCTATTGTTTTTATCTGAGTCAGGATGAGTGTCTGAATCAAGATGTAGCTTTTGTTGATTCAAAGCAATGGATGAAGGAGGTCTGAATAGCGTTGAAGAAGCCAAGTGTGGATTTGATTGTTAGGCGGCAAAACGAACGACTGCCGAAGCTTGGCGGTCATTG